GCGCTCCGGCCCCAAGTCCTGCCTCTGCTCCACAAGGACCACCCTGGCATAGCGCGAATGAAGGTGTTAGCCCGCAGCTATGTCTGGTGGCCTTTGCTGGACACAGAGATAGCGGCCTATGTAGGCCGCTGCACCATGTGCCAGCTCTCCCGGCCCAACCCTCCATCCGGGCCTGCTCGAGAGTGGGAGGCTCCGAGAGGCCCGTGGTCACGCCTCCACATCGATTATGCCGGCCCCTTTCACGGCCAGAACTTCCTGATCATGGTAGATGCCTACTCTCGGTGGGTGGAACTGGTTATCATGACCTCCACCACAGCCGAGAGTACGGTCAGGGCCCTCCGCCAGTTGTTCGCAACCCACGGGTTGCCGGACGTCCTGGTCTCGGACAACGGGCCGCAATTCACCTCTACCACATTCCAGGAGTTCTTGGCCGAACAAGGGATCCGGCATGCGCCCACAGCCCCGTACCACCCAGCCTGCAGTGGCCGGGCGGAGCGGGCGGTCCGCTCAGCAAAGGAGGCACTGGGCCGTATGGACCAGGGCGATTGGCAGGCTAGGGTGGCGGCTTACTTACTAAGCCAACACTCCACCCCCTGCCCAACAACCAACAAAAGCCCCGCGGAACTCTTGATGGGCCGGCGCCTGCGGATCCCCCTGGATAGGCTTCACCCGCTCTATTCAGGGGACCAGCCGTGCAACTTGGGGGTCTCCCCTCCCCGTTCCTTCCGCCTGGGGGATTTGGTGTGGGCCCGATCTTTTGCGGGGGAGCCTAAGTGGGTAGCTGCTGTAATCAATTCCATGACCAGCCCGTGTTCCTACAGGGTCGGACTGGCCAATGGATCCGAGTGGAGACGCCACTTGGATCAATTAAGGAGGCGCCTCCCTATGGAGACCAGCGGGCCAAAGGATCCAGGGCCCAACAGCACAGCCGCCTTCCAGCCGGTGCCAACATCACAGGCCTTCCCACATCCAGGCCTTGCCTACCCCGTGTTGCCAGAATGTAATGCTCAAGCCGACCCAACGCACCTTGAATGGGCCTTCCCCAAGTCAGGCCCAGCCTACCCGAGCGCCCCCTGTTGGCAAGCGCCCCTGCCGTCTCAAACCGCAACCGGAATCCCGCCAATCTACATCCCTCCGTTTGTTACCGCCCCCCGGCAACTTGACAATCCTATAACGGCCGCGCCCCATCGGCCCGGCCTACCTAGCTCGTTGAGCCCGCCTTCTGGGCAGTCCAAAGATGGCGACACTCGGAGCTCCACTCCCTTCGGGGAGGAGCTTCCATGAGCAGGTCCTTCCCCTCCGATGACTGCAGGCGAACTGCGAAGATCGGGGCGGGTCCTACCTGGAGGACTACGCATGCTCCACCCTGGGGCATGCACAGAACTGGGGGGAAGGGGTGTAGAATATTGAGAATATTCCTAAAG